TCAATTGTTGGATTACCCATAGTGTTAATAACCTTACTTGGAGTTCTCCTTATTGAATTGAACGTTTGCAGCAACAAAGATTCATCAATTTCCCCATTTTCGAATTTTTCGCTAAGAACCCTAATTCTTTCAACAAATTCAACAAAGTTAGGATGAAATTGACCATGGCCCATGGTTGGGTTAGGGGCTCCAGAGGGTGGGGAAGCTACCCCAGTTGGTCCACAACCATGGGTCACGATGACGACACCGGAATCAGCTAAAAAGGAACTGAAATCGCGACATTCGCGACTGTGATTTTGCCCAGTCCAAATTTGATCTGATGTGTTGCTGGTTTGGATGAATTGACACCATGGCTAGGTGCGTCTGAGGGTGGGCTACTGGATGATGTTGGTTCGCGACCGGATTGCCTGCCGAAGGTGGGTTTTCCGATAGTTGACTCAGTTTCGCCTGGCTGTTTTTTATGCAGATTTCTGTCGAATTAATCAATGAAATTGGGACTTTTTTGGTGGGAATTGAAGCTGAGGTTGAGGAGATTATGTTGGTAGCCAAGTCCGGCGGTTTAGGTGGCCGGAGTGTGTCGGAAAAAGGCTCCATTTACCGGTCGCAAAAGGGGCCAAAATAGGGTTTTTTAATTCACTGTAGAGTAACTCGCTTCAAAATATCTAGAGGGAAATATGGCACCTATATAGATTAGAAGAGTCTCAAATATTTATTCACCTAAAAGGAATTGAATATGAGAAAAAAATGATGATTGGAGCTAAGTACAGGATTATGACTATATTATCTATTTCCATCTGGATAAGGTTAATGTAGTTACAGATTTTCAAGCAAGAGGATGCCATTTGATATTTTAACCCTATATACTCGTACACAAATGATAAAAAATCTTGGAAATTTGTTGATTGAAGTTGTCTTTCTGCCAAATAAAACCTTAGTTCTAATAGCAACTTTAGCAATTCAACCTATCCTTGGAGATCTAATCATAGAAGCACAAAGTAAAGATTAACTTTTACAAACACAAGGAATGAAGTTGGTACAAGCAAAAGAAAGGACTTCGAAATAGCTATAGATAAGGCACACTAATGTTCAAAGGAAGAATCTTTTTGCCTAAGAATGAGGAATTAAAATGGAAGATGTTGGAACAAACTCATTCTATCCCGTTGTCTCGCTTCCCTGTGGTACAAAAATATTTCGAGATACGTTTTGGTGGAGGAATATGAAAAGCAATGTCAGTTAATTTATGAAGAAATGCACGGTATGTCAACAACTTAAAGATGAACATCGAAGACAAATATAGATAATAAATCCACTAGACATATCAAAATGGAAATGAGAGTATAGAAATTGACTTTGTAGTAGAATTTTCAAAGTCAGCAAGAGGTCACTAAGCTATATGGTCATAGTGGATCGTTTTACCATGTCAGCTCATTTTCTTCAAGCGAAATGACTTTTATTTTGGATTAGATAATGCAATTGTATATCATAGAAATTGTCAAATTGCACTAAGACTTGTCTTTATTAGATCAAATAAAAACTCAAGATTTATGTCTAAGTTCTGGAAGAGCTTATAAAGAGCTATGGAACCGAAACTTAACTTTAGAACGACAAATCATCATCAATATGATGGTCAATCTGAAAGGGCTATTCAAATTGTGGTAGACATTCTACGAGCTTGTGTTGTGGATCTGGAAAGTAGTTATGAATCATATCTACCCTTGGTTGAATTCGTCTAAAATAATAGTCTTGAGGCTACTATTGAAATGAAATTGTACAAAGCTCTCTATGATAGAAGATACATATCACCTATCTGTTCACTTCGTTTAAGTTGGAGAAAAGAAAGTTCTAGGTATGAGAATTGTCGAACAAACAATTGGATCCATTGACAAGATTGAAGCTAGAATAAAAGCGATAAAACATACACAAAAGAGCTATGCATATAACAAAAGGAAAGACTTATGAGTTTCAAGTGGTAGGTAAAATAATTATAAAAGCAACGCCAATGTATAGTGTATTTAAGTTTGGCAAGAAAGGCTAATTAAAACCATGATATATCGGACCTTTCAAAATCCTTGATAGGTAAAAAGTATGGCTAATTATTGGATTTAGCACTTGAAATTTCGACAATGCACAACATGTTTCATGTATCTATGATTAGGAAATATGTGCATGATCCTAGTCATATGGCCAATTGTCAATTTTTGAATTACAAAAGGACCAGTCTTATAAGAAAAAGGTTTGTTGTACAGCCTTTTTGTATAGTAACTTACACAGGCCACACACATGGGGTGGGCCCACAAAAATGCCCACATGTGTGTGGGCTGTGTAAATTAATGTGTACCAAGGCTGTACACCAAGCAAGGTTCGTCTTATAAAGGATTATAGATCGTGATACTGGACAAAAAAGTGCATAAGTTGAGGAATAATGAGTTCCAGTTGATCAAAGTGCCATAATCACGAAATAAAAGAAGTTACTTGTGAAACAAGAGAGGAAGTTAAAGCTAACTATCCACACTCTTCACCTAACAATAAGTTAAACTTCGTTGGCGAAACTATTTTATGATGTAAAGGATGTAGTAATTCGAAAATTTTCATACATTTATATGTTTGTAGTTTAAATTTGATGGTACGATATTACAAGCCCAGTTAATAGACAAGCTTGGTACTAGTTTAATTTAAAATTTTCAAATACCTTAAAAACATTTTATTTGTATTTTATAATGAGTTAATGGTTAGTTTGGTATAATTGTAACGTGCATGGTGGTACAAACAAGTAAACGAGGTTCAAGCCTTATGCATACTTCTTTTTCTAGAAAAGTTTTAAATTATTTTTTAAAATAAAAAAAATGTAGGTCTGAATTGAATGTTTTCCAAAGGTTGGACGTGAGATTTTTTTTTAAAATAAATTTTTACTTGCTCTGTTCTAGAAGATTGTGAATCGAAAAAAAGATAATGATAACTTTGTAGTTAATGGACGGGGTGCAATTTGTGCAAATTCAATGACCATTTAAAGTAATTCAAAATATAGTAAATAAAGCTTGACGAAAAACAAAGTTCAACGAAACTCTTTCAACAATGCATTGCTTATTTAGCAATTTTAACTCCTCCAACATATCAAGGCGAATTTCGTTTGTCCACTCGTGGATGATGTATGAAGTGTAATTGGTGTGTGCTGTTGCGGCACCCAAAAGTGATACCTTAACCTCTAAAACTAATGTAGTAGTAGTAGAAAGGGTCGATCCCACGAAAAGTATGTAATTCAATATTTTATACTTCGTATAATGATTTGGGAGTTTTTGTATGCAAACAATTGTAAATAACGCAATCAATAACAATGAAAATTAAATTAACGAAAACAATCAAAAGACTAACATTGGTCTAAATCCATATCCATAATCGAAAATCCACGATTGATTGCGATAATTCAATTCATATTTTGAATATTCCTCGTTGGAATTGATTCATATTTCTCCTTAATTTTAGTTAGTTAGAAACCAGCGTTCTAATTAACTCTAATTATTAAATAACATCAGATCAACGCTCAAGATTCAATTTAATAACAGCTTTACACAATAGAGAAATCGATGAACTAGATAACACAAACACCAGCGGTTGCATTCAATCTATTTAAACATTCTTCTTAAGATTCAATAACCTCTATCGCAGAAAATAATCAAATCCTAGTGCTTCACAAGTTAAAGGGATCAAACAATTACGGATTTGATGTTTAACTTAGCGGTAGATTGTTACAATCAATAAACTAGCGGGCCCTCTAGCAATTAAACGCAACAAATCATAGAAATAAATGCAGAAGAACATTCAATACTCAAAATATAAATCAAACAATAAGAAAAACTATTTAGATCTCACAATATGTGGTTCCGAGGCTTCAATTTCCTTCGACCAAGCGTAGAAGTTTAGTTACACATGATAGATCTAAGAAAAATAGAGAGAAAATAGGTTGGAGGCGTTCTCCTCCGTTCTAGGGTTTTAAAAGATGTATTTATAGTTGTTTCCATAGGTAGTTGACTTAAATTAGGAAACCAGAATTTTCGTATCGGAAATGAACCATGCGGCCGCATGGTTTAGAGGCTTGCGGCCGCAAGGAACAAATAAACTCAACCTTCAAACTCTCGGTAATGGTCTATGCGGCCGCATGGAATTAAAGGCTTGCGGCCGCATGGTTTTACGAAATTTCCTCCGAACAGCTTTCAGTGTTTTGGTCGTATCTTCTTTTCCCGATATCCGATTGAGGCGATTCAAGATGCGTTAGAAAGATAACTCAAAGGGCTATAACTTTTATTCAGATATGATCTTCCAATTCGATCGTTTTCCATGTCAAAAATGGGTCTCAATATGAGGCTGAAAATCGGTGTATAACTTTTCGATTGGAAATTGATGTGTGATCATACTTTGACGATATTTCATTCCTTTGACGTCTTCTTTCAACCAATTGACTCTCAAATTTTCATCGTTTGGTTTGACACAACATTCGTATACTTGCACGCTAGTCCTTGATCTTTCATTTTGGTCCATTTTCACATATTTCTTCCAAATAACGTAATCTCCATTAAATTGCCACCTAAATCAAAATATGAGGTTAATAAGTACATTTTGGCACAAAATATTCATAAGAGAGCATAAAATAAGGGGAGAAAAATATACGTTTTACATTTCTATCAGTAATTTAAAGGCAATTCAAACATCAGGATGAGCAAAGTCAATATGTAATAACTCTGTGTTCTTCTTTTATTTGAGAGTTAATTGTTTGAACACACACCGAACTTTGGATCATGTCAGATTTCACTCACCATACTTTAATTTGCATCACATTACTCATTGAACTTTGTGAAGTTACACTCTATTACACATTGGACAGCTTTCGTTACTAACCTTGCCGACGTGGATATGGAATATACATGTGGCCAGTTAATACTCTCCAAGTTAGAAATTAAATGCCAACTCCTTAATCCCAAACACGCCTAGTGAATTAGGGTTAGTTCTCAAAGGATGTCACTAGATAATAATACCATTACAGCCAATTCCGTCAGAAAAGATGAAAGTAGTGGATTGATAGGCCTGAAAACCACCACAACAAAGCCTCCAGGAATCGGCACTAAAGTGCCCCAGATATGATTCACCAAACACCAAGTTTTGCTATTACAACAATTATAGTCTGACAGCCATTTTTGCCAAAATTGTAGAAGGTATTGGACTAGAGGAGAGCCTTGTACATCGTGATGATTGGCGGTGGCTACCGAAAAAAATAAGAAAATGAAGGCTTCTAATTCTTGAGTTCTTGGGGATTCGAGGGATTCCATTGGATCATATGATATTGGTGGATTGAAATTCTTTCCAGGTATATTACCAGCCATGGATTTCTAGCTCGCAGGGTTACATTTCCCTAGGCTAGACTATCCAAATACCGGTGTTTTTAACCATTTTTCTATTTTGGGGATATGACTAACAATTCTACTTCTACAATTGCATCAAACCCTTGTTCCAATCTAGATCCTTTAGAAAGTTCTCATATGATGGGATTCAATTTTCCTTTATCTTCTTACTCAAATAAGGAGAAACTAGTACTCAAGTCTTCAAAAAATGGGCAACAATTCTTTGAACGTTTACAACAGTCTATTAACCACTATCGATCTGGAGAACTACTCAAAAATAATAAAATGAAATAATGAGTTCAATATTGGGATAAAGAAACTAAATTAAAGTAAAAAGGAACAAACCAGTTATGAAATGTGCTTTGATATGGATAATGGTGGAGATTCCATGGAGCCTTTTCTTGGCTCTTGACATGAATAATACAATGAATTCTCAACTTTACCACTTCAATTTTTCTCTGTGTTGTGATGCCCATATAAATAATGATTAATTACTTGCTAACATAAAGAAAAAAATTAATTACAAAATACCAATTCCAATTTCCAAACCCTAAATCCAATTCCAATTCCAAATCCAATTCCCCCAATTACAATTCACAATTCGAAATCCAATTCCCCCAATTACAATTCCAAACTTATAACTCATCAACTCATATTCTCAGACCTCAGCCTCTCAGACAATTATTATAAATCACAAATTCACAAAAAAGAAAAAAAAAAGATACACAGAAAAAAAAACGAACGGAATTGAAACCAGCGCTTACCGTAAGTCCTTAACGGCGTTCAGGCGTTCACCGAGTCACCATCGACTCTTCAATCGATCGTCGGAGGCAGCAGACAGCAGGTCTCGACAGCGACGCAATCGGGCAGACAGCCAGACATGCTCGCACGCAGAGTCGCAATCCTTCCCTCCTCTCCTCAGCTCCTCTCTGATTTCAATTTGCAAATTGCAATTGGGACTGGGTTGTGGCCTTGTGAGGGGGTTTTGGCTAATTGATTGGCCCATTCATTTAGGTTTGGGCCTTTTTTTAAGGCCCAAACTGCCTTTGAAAATGAACTAACCAAAAAAAATTTCTGGACTTCTGCCTTTTGGCTTTCTTCTTCATTTCCAGGCGGGCGGTGCTGAAGGCTGGCTGAACTGAAGCTCCGGCGAACCCAGCACGGGCGGCCGCGGGGGCTGGCCAGGTGTTGGGTCCGCCCCTGACTATCGAGTCCTTGAGCTCTATCAACCAAGATTTGCACTGAAAATTGTAGCAACAATGATTGGCTATGCTTTTTGTTGAAGAGAATGAGGACTTGTTTGGGATTAATGTGTTGTATATAATTTTTGACGTGGAGAGAATAATTGACCGCATGTATATTCCGTTATCCACGTCACTAGGTTTAGTAACGAAAGTTGCCCATTGTGTAATTGAGTGTAACTTTATAAAGTTGAGTGAGTGAAACGTGACCTTATCCAAAGTTCAGTGTATATTCAAATAATCAACTCCTCCTACTATGAATCAAATTCAAACTGTTTACAGATTATTCAAGTCTCACCTCCTTTCACGTCTCGAGCCGCAAGGCTTCGAGGTAATTTTCCAATTTCTCAAAGCCTTCATCTTCTCCAACTGTTACTCTAACCACACAATTTAATGTTGATACACAAAATGTTTTGGGCTTTTGGCAGTGTGGTGGGACTACAATTTTTCATCTTCTCCAATTTCTCAGGCATTCTCGGTCACTTTGCAGAGACAGTAACCCTAGAATTTTTGCCTCGACCAGGTAGGTTATTTGAAAAAATCAATTACTGAACCTAGGTTTTGTTTTTGTCGGGCACTAGTTTCATTTATTTTATTATTATTATTATTATTTTTTTTTTAATTTTTTTTTTTTGAGATTGTTTTATACAAATGATACCGGTGGAATATTAAATGTTCTTTCTTTATTGCTAATAATAGTATGATTTCTTTGCATTGCCTTTAATTTAATGCTGAAATTCACTTTTAATTAGACAAGACTTGCACTTCGGTGAAAAATCTTTTGGGCCAGCTTGGGAGTTTTATTTTCACCGTTTTGATCGATTTTGGGTGGTAACATTTATGAGAGGTTGAAAGAACCAGTGCTTGATGAATTTTTTGGCACCGATTTTGGATGGTTTAAAAACTACCCAAAAAACGATGTAATGTAATTTTGAACGATTTTCTCAACCCACCAAATTGAAGGTTTTTGGCTATTCTTAAATTCTCTTCTAATTTTATCCTTTATAAAATAATTATTTCCAATAAACATATTTTATTTAATACTAACGTATAAATAAAAATATACTAACTAAAAAATTATTTATAAGCAAAAAAATTATATTATAATTAAAAAACTACTTATATTACATATAAGATAAGAAATTATTTTTGTGTAAAAATCTGACTAATAAGACAAAAAATCACTTATAAAATATAAAAAATTACTTATAAGTAAAAAAAAATCGCTTATGTGTAAAAATTATTTAAAAATACAAAATTAACTTATAATTATAAAATTTATATATAACTAAGTAATGCTACATAAAATTTTAAGTAAATATTTAACTTTATTTAACATTTTAAATTAAATAACTTATATGTAAAAAAAATTATATATAAGTAAAATATCACTTATAAGTAAAAAATTTCACACAAGAAACTATAAACTTAAAATTTCACTAAGAACATATTTAACTTTACTTTTTTAATAAAAACCTTTCAGAAATAATGCATAATAAACTTGTGTTTGACTATGCTAATCGTTATTAAAGCACCTCTCAAATTTGATACTTCAAAAAACGCCGATAACGGTATATCGGAAGCATACCTTCACAGATTCAAAAAAATTACCCACCATCTCAATTCCCAAAAATCCAAAAAATTCAAAGAAATCCAGGGTGAATTGTAGCTCTCAAATTCATACAAAAATGGCGGAAAATGCAACTCCTCCACAGTCTCCCCCAAAACCCTCCATGGAGCCATCAACGACTCAGATGAACATGACAATTGAACCAGCAAATTCGCAACATTTTCAGGGTTTGCCAACCTTCTCTTCCAGTCTCGCCATCACCTCCCTTCTCTTGACCAGAAAATAAAAAACAAAAGGTGCAATCCCAGTAGCAGCAACAACAAATGGTGCAAACCCAACAATAATTGGTACAACCCCAGCAGCAATTGGTACAAACCCACCCGCAACAGCAACAACAATTGAAGCAATGGGAATGATGGGACAATATCAGCAACAGCAAGCCGGGATTTATGGGCAATGAATTTTGGGGGCGGAAATGCACTTCAGCAACAGCAGCAGAATCAGTTGCAGCAATAACTGGGGCAGATGAACAGAAACAATTTGACGTGGTCGGCATCGATGGGGCAAACAGGGCACCTGCCCATGTTATCTGGTCAACCTGCAGCGGCTACTGCTCAATTTAATTTACAGAGCCAGTTATTAACTTCGGTGAGGAGTCTTAATAATTAGACAATCTTTGGCTTTGCCTGTAAAAAAACAAAAGTGATCTTTGTAATGCTTACACTATTTATGTGATTTTTTATTGAATTTATATAGTCAAGTACACTATTGTGTTTCAATGTGAAAATTAGATTTTGATGTTGGTAATTTCTTTATATGTTTACATCTGTTTATGCGTTTGAATTTGAGATGATGGGAATTTTGGGCAGAGAAACCAGGTAATGCCAGTCCCTGTTGCATTTCAATTGCACAAAATTTATTTGTAAAAAAATGTATTTTGTTTTACAAAATTTTCATTCATTTAAATTAGTTGTTATCTAGTTACTTTCCTGTTTTAAAACTTTTAAATTTGTGCTTGTTAATTGGCGTGTTGATTGTTGAGAACTGTTGATTTGGTTGCTGCAGTGCACAAATACCGAAAAAAAACCTTGATGGGATATTTTCATTTGGTGCAATTTTTTTATTTATTTTTAATAATTGTTTGTGTTTAAGACAAGTGTGATTATGGGTTCAGCCTCAAAAGAAGGCAGGATTGATACAGGGTCTCAGTCCCATCCTAGTAATTCTCCAGAGCAGTCTTTGCAGGGAATGTAGGCAATTGGAATGATGGGGTCCCTCAATTTAAATTCCCAACCTAGAGCAAACAGGTTGCTTGCTTATGCCCGGCAAGGGATTAACCCAGGGCAATTGAGGCAGCAATTTTCACAGCAAAACAAACTCACCAATAGCCAGGTATAAGTTCTATTGGTTTTGGTCTCATATGTTGAAATGTTTATTTTGGTATGTTCTTTATTTCGTCTTCTTATCTGAGTGAAACAGGCATAGACTAGTTGCCCTGGCTATTGCTTATTTGTTTGATTCACATCCGTGTCTATTTGTGGTACTTGTATGTAACGGCCTTGAAGTGATATTTGATTTTGTCTGTTTTGTGGCAAGAATTGTTATTGCGGAGTAAAACACTGCTGCATTAGGTTAACGCCCAGACCTGCATGAAATGTCTCTTATTTGTTGTCCGTCTCTTTCATTTTTCTTATTTTCTTGCGCAGTCCACTGTATGCACTGTGCTGCTTCTAGGCGTTACAATTTCACATGTGCAAGCTGTAAGACATTTAGTGTTCGTTCGAGTGATCATAAGTATTTTCCTTTTGCTAGTGTTACAATCTTTCTTATCCCTTAGTGAAAAGTAATGGTTAACGAATATTTATTTCCAATTGGGGTCCAAAGATGAAAATCTTTGTAATATTCTGAACCATTCATGAACTTCGCAGCAAAAATGATTAAAATATTTTTACACAGGTTTGCTTTCTCACCCGTCGTAGTCGCTCGAGATCTTATTTAATAATTCCTGAAAATTGAAAGGAAACAACAAAATCAAATATCTAATAAAAGTAAAACTGGACCATGCTGGACATCTTACCTTCAGTAACATATTTGAACTCCTTATGATTGAACTTTCAAGCCAATGAGGATGTTTCAGAAAGGTAGGTAGTTTGAAGCCGATAATATCACGT